ATGACTTGGCTTTTTTGTCCACCTTTCTACTTGTTGACAAAACAAATTTTCAAGTCAAAAGTTGATTCAGTAAACACAGTATAGTGAGGGCCATGCTTGTCAAACTGGAAGTAGCTCCAACTGCTGAAATTCATGCATTGTATTTTCGTTCTTTTTATTTATTGGAAGAATATACTCCGTATATTTTATGGATGCATGCTTCCAGATTATATCCCTATGGGTGTTGCAGCGTCCATTTGTTTTGCTAGAAAACCATTTAGTGTACTTCAAAATCCTAGCTTTACCTTTCAACTTTATAATGCAGCATTGAATAAGCAGACACAAAGAAGTCTACAAAATGAATTCTATAACACCTATAGGGATATAATTGTCACTAATATTGTACTTTACATTGATCTTACATGTGACTTAATTTCTTATTTCCCGGTTTCTTTGGTGACATCTAGAACCTATACACATAGATCTTGATCTTTAGTCATCATAAGAGGTAGCCGATGAAGTTATCACAACCAAAAGGGGCTAAACCCTCGACCTACCCATAGATATATACGTATAAAACGTTTCACCAAGTGTAGGGTCTATTTTATAAGTCTTATTGCTAAATGAAATGGCTGAATTTTCTGCAAGGGAAAGTTGTTTAAAAGCATCCATTTTAGCCAAATACGTAACTGAAAAACTAATTGTTCCAAGTAATCATTGTAATCTATAGATAAGAACAACTAACCGATTATCAATGCCAATTGGGTACTAAGAGCTTTGGTTCGGTCCTATATATGAACCTAATAATAGTCTTCTACCAATATTAAAAATTGTCATCTATTATAATAAATTATAATTTGATAGGAGAAGCAAGGCGAAATTTTAGATTTTAGTTTGTATATTGATTTTAATTGGTCTGGCAGGGAATACTAGAATAGCTTAATAGCAATACTATTTATAAATCTTAGATATAGCAATTTAGAAATTATAAGGTTAGAGAAGAAGCTTATCAGGGTGGGTATTTGCGGAAGAATGATTTTGCATCTGATTATGATTTTGATGTCTGTTATCATTTTGTTGCTGGTGCTTAGATTTGCGACAAACTATCTGGCTATTATAAAGAACCTTTAGGGAAAACAATGCAAACTAAGATTGAAGCATCCCGCCTCAAGCTAGCCTTACTAATGTTGAATGGATTTGAAATGGAAACTATGTTTACCTCGTGAATATTATTAGTCTACCATTTTTGTGTTCCTGGGCAAAATAAAATATTATCAATTTGCATGCAAATGTATTACACTCAGGAGTTAGTGGACCAAGTAAAACTTCATGCATTGTAGCCATTGGTAAAAAAGATAACAAGTTACCCTTATTTGTCATATCCTGAACATGTGAAGTTCTACGGTTCTACCTCTTCTTCAAAACCAAATAATAACCAAAGTAACAGAACAAGCTTCGTAGTTGAAGGACCTAAAACACCCGATGAGTAACAGAAAACCCTTTTGCAAATTATATCGACCTAACAGAGTAGTGAATGTGTCCTTAATCTAATAATGGTAAACTGCTCTATAGCATAGTTTAAATCTTTCATGCAGAAGTAACACACCATGTCTCAACCGTTTACATGAGTAGGTCAAAACAGTACGTCCCCTAAGGCCCTAACATATTGTCGCCTTAGGGGACTAATAGCGAAAATTTTCACATTCTTATGAACAATCTATATGAAAAAATAATTTTTAGTATGACTTTCCCCACTTTTAGAAAAACAATATTACATTGCTTGTAAGTATGCCGTTGTATCACACCAAATACTCTTATGATGTATTATAAAATAGTAACATCTATAGAAAAATTAAAATTGGGCATTATCTCATCGCGCACCGCGCGTTCAAAAAACTAGTAAATTTTATATATGAGTCCGAATGGTCAAAACCAGAGACCGTAGGCAAATGTATGGAACAGAAAAGATAAGGTGCACGGGTTAGCTTCTTGCACGCCGTAAACTTTATCTTTCATGCTCATTTAGAAATTTTCATTTAATTTATACAAGAATATTTTGGTACATTAAGAAAATAATACACTAAAACACACTTTTCTACCAAACACTTCAACTTTAACTTTTTAACTTTAATCACTTTTCTCCAAACATTATCAGTTTTTACAATTAATCACTTTTTCATTGTCCCAAGGTGGAATCTCCCACCCAAGAGCCCCCACACCCCGACCCGACAGAATCGTGGAGGAGTAAGTCACGGTGACTCAGTCGGCCCAATGGTGGTAGGCCTTATACGCGTGCGCACCAGAGGTCCAACCCAGCATGCAGGAGCTGTAACCTCCACACGGCCACTACGGGTTTCGATCCTTGATCATTGTTCCAAATTTCTCACCACTGAACCAACTAAGCTAGACGTGCAGGTATTAATCATTTTTTCAAATTTCATTAAAAAGACACTTTTTTAAATAGAAGCAGTTGCAAACACTCCCTTAATCCTTTTTGTGCATATTTATTTCCATGGAGAAAAAACTGAGTACACTGCAATCCACTCCGATTCCTCCTTGACTCTGCTAGTGTGTACTCTAATTTGAAAATGATTCCTTAGAAAATAGGAGTTGTTATAAATACAAGTAACATTACATGACTGTTATATCAAAATGTAGCATTCTAGATTGCACTAGCGGTCTAACATGATAAAAAAAAGTTTCTTAAAATATAAAGAACATGAGGTGAGAATAATACTTTTTTTCTAACATGACATGAGTATAATACTTTGGCTCTATTATGCATAGCCGATGAATATGTAATCATATTGGTGACAACCATTGTCAGCTACCATTGTCAATTTGTAATGATTTTATTTTGGGATCAGATCATTGGAAAAGACATCAAAGTTTTTATTTTGAAGATTTCTATAAGAAAAATGTCACATAAATTGCACGTTTTTCTAACTCTACCATTGGGAAGGGTTTAACCATAGTCGTTCTTAAAATTCGAGTTTATGCACAGCTGATGTTAATACCACGAGTAGATCAGAGAGTAATGGTATTTTTTTGATATGAAACACAAGAATTATAAAGTTTGATTACCCTATATCTCCCTCTTAATGCATAGGGGACCCCAAGATGTATAAGTAAAGGAAGATGTGCCATTGACTCACAACGATTAGAGTTTCTCTAGATTTTTAAACCAGGTACACAAAACATTGGGAAGTCATATGGTTGGAATGAGAGACACAAGGTTGCATTAGGATACTGAAATTAACAAATTAACATGAATACTTATTATTGACATTCATTATAAATTATAATAGTACATCACAATTTGATACTAAAAATAGATGGTGCACATATTCACTTAAGATTTTAACAAAATTTATGACGGAATATAATGAATGTGATCACACATACACGTATGGTGAAGAGTGTAATTGGGTTGCCCATTACCTTGCTGTGGGCCATGTGGGCCGACTCCCTCTTTTTATTTTACTAGCCCAAATTTATTGCCTATTAGGGCTAAGGGATCCTATTATATGGATCTGTTTGGCATTCATTCGATTAGACTCTAGTGTTTTAGCTCTATTGTAATCCATTTTGGGTCATGTATAGCCCCCCAATCTGGTTTTTATTTTTCGCTTTTGTCTGTTTTGCTTTATTGGGTCAGGTATTGCCCCCCCATTTGTATTCGGTTACTTTATCATTAATAAAACTCTGGTAAATGTCCCCCAGCATTTACCCCACTGATTTTGGTGGTTGACCGGCCTTCCGGGGTTAAAGAAAAAGTATGGTGAAGAGTGTTTGGAAAAAGTCAAAAAAGGAAAAAGATAAAAGAAAAATGAAGGATGAGCATGTATGAATTATTTTCGAGTCAAGGGGAGCAAATTATTTTTTAGGGTAGGGGTGAATTTTTCACTAATATAACAGAGCGAATTTTTTTCCGCTAGTTATCGAGGCGAAAATGAATATACAATACACATGATACACTTTTAATGTTACAAACAATTACTAAAAAATGGATGTACCATGTGCATGATACCCCCCAAGGTACAACTCTTCTCATTCTTCTTCATCATTTACTTTGTAAGGTGAGAAAACTGTCAAATAGGTTCTCGAACTTTCATAAAAAAATCAATTAAGTCCTTCTATAGGAGACTCTGTCCGGTCGTCGCGATTTGGGGCGGTTCCCAGTGGAATTTTTTGGTGAAATTTTTTGAGCATCTTATTCATCAAGTCTAGTTTACTCATATCAAATTTCAGCTAAAAATTTAATCGGGGGCACATTCAAATTAATTCGAGAACGCAAAACTGCGCAGTTATCTTCAAGGATTAATTTGAATGTGTTCCCGGTTGAATTTTTAGCTGAAATTTGGTATGAGTAAACTAAACTTGGTGAATAAGATGCTCAAAAAATTTCATCAAAAAATTCCACCGGGAACTGCCCCAAATCGCGACGGCCAGACAGAACCTCTTATAGAAGGACTTAATTGATTTTTTTATGAAAGTTCGAGGACCTATTTGACAGTTTTCTCTTGTAAGTTTGTAAGCACATACTCCGTATGACCGTATTTGTTAAAGGAAATGAAAAGTAGAGTATCCATCAAAAACCTTTCTTGACCAATTCGTTTGGAAACAACAATGCTTGATGTACTGACTCTTATGCTCACTCTTATACACACCATGTTTGTGAAGTGTTTTTTTTTTCTTTGTGAAAAATATTGTATGTGAATCAGGGTTTACAGAAAAATAAAAAGCTTTTACTAATATGAACGTTATTTTTATTCAAAAAAAAATATGAACGTTATTTTTGATTCGGAAATTAAAGCAATGAATGAAATCGAAGGAAGCCCTCTCTTGGAAATTGACCGGTTCTGTCCGATTTGACCGCTTCTTGACTGGTTCTACCGGGCTTTTACCTCTCCCGATTTCTGATATTACCGGATCGGTAATTTTCCCGGATTAGCGGTTTCCGAGTCAACCAGGCCAATCCGATCCGGTTTCTTAAAACCATTAAAAACCATCTCAAAAGCATCCGCTTCCGTATTTCGGATAAGATAGTTTCCATTTTCTAAGCGACCAAATTGAACAAAAATCTCCAATCATCTTTCGAACAGTTCAACGATGTTATCCAGCGATTCTTCCATATTTGGTTCCTAAGAAATTTCCCAGAATTTTACGTCACTAGATGGCTGTTGTGTTACCGTCATCCAGAATCTTGTCATCCCCCCTCGACCGGCGCCCGGTGGGGATATTTTCTGATTCAAACAGCAGAACTGTGCAGAAGGTTGAAATTTCTCAATCTAATGCGTGTAGAAAGGAAAATTATAGGATTAGGGTTTTATCGAGAGTCAAGGATTTGGAGGAGGCTGTGAAAGGCTCGAGTTTGGGGGATACTATGAGGTTGTTCGAGCAGTTCTCAGCTCAGCCGGTGAAGTCTAGTGCGACTTCGTCTTCAACTAAGATTAGCAAAGAGGAGGAGGAGAAGCGGGATTACTATCTCAACACAGGCTACGCTATCCGGACACTCAGAGAGGAGTATCCAACGCTGTTTCAGAAGGAGCTTACATATGATATCTACAGGTTTTTGTGGGCTTTTTAGAGCATTTGAAGCAATACATGTGATTTTATAGTTGTTAAGGACTTTGAATGTGTTTTCTAGCATATAAATGTGTATAGACTATAGAGCATGAAAACAGGAAAAATTAATATTGAAGCAGTTGGAATCTCAAGAACTGATGTTCTTTTGGGAAACTTTATCTACAATCTGCAAAGTTTGACTCTTTTTTGCATTAAAGTTAAGTATTTGGGGTCTTTTAAAATTTTACATGTATTGGTTGTGGCTTGCATGTGTTCTTCTGTTAGGAACCTGTTAGGAACCTGGTGCTAATTATATTTACTACACTATGTGAGGGCGGAAGCCTCCTATAAGAATATTATGGTAGGGAATGGAGATGGTGTTTAGGGCTTAGGAGAGCATTCAGAATCAGGCTGCCCTGCTATTTGTTGATTGATCAACATATATACATGAATAGAAATAAGGGGGGATTTTGACTTTGCACCCTACTTTTTGGGTGATATTAGACTTTACACCCCACTTTCAAAAAACTTTGAATGGGGTGCAAAGTTAAAGGATTTATAAGCGAAATGAGGTGCAAAGTCAAAGTTTTTTAAAAATGGGGTGCAAAGTTTAATATCACCCAGAATATGGGGTGCAAAGTAAAATCCCCCCTAGAAATAACTACCTCACTCACGAATCACAAATTACTGAGCCATTTCTAAAGAGAGATTATATAGGTTAAGATTAGTAATACCTCTTTCAAACATTGTAGCGGGATTTTTTGATACATAAGGAACTATCTAAGAAAATTTACTTAAAGCATACATTTTTAGTGACCCATTGATGATAAAAAGAAGTAAAATACTTTCCTTTGCACATTGACATTATTCTCGTGATAACTAGATAATATATTACCAAGTAGGGAAGCACAATTCCATTTGGTTTGTAGCATATATACCAACTTTGGTATACTTTGAGAAACATTTAACATGGCTTTTGCGGCCTCTGTAATAATGTGATGTTTAGGATTCTTGATGTTCCTTTTCACTCTTTACAGGGATGATATTACATACAAAGATCCATTGAACACCTTTGTCGGCATTGAGAATTATAAATCAATCTTTTGGGCGTTACGATTCCATGGTAGAATATTTTTCAGGGAATTGTGGGTTGACATTGTTAGTGTGTGGCAACCTGCAGAGAGCATGATAATAGTGCGTTGGACAGTCCATGGTATCCCACGTGTCCCCTGGGAGTGCCATGGACGGTTTGATGGCACTTCAGAATATAAACTTGATCAGAAGGGGAAGATATATGAGCACAGGGTCCACAATATTGCTTTAAATGCACCTCCAAAGTTTCGTGTTCAAACTGTTCAGGATATAATAGAATACATTGGGTGCGGATCAACACCTAAGCCTACTTTCTTTGAGTTCTCATCCTCATTCAAGAACTTTGTGGCACTATTAGTGAATTCATGTGGGTCCAAGCTTCACTTGTCTTCGGTTTTATCTTCTGTCGGGAAAGAGGAGGATGAGGAATCATCTAAGGAAAGGTTGTGATGAAATGAGCTGTTGCTAGGGGTGAGATGCACTCATGCACTACAATTACCCTTACTCTGGATATGCATCCATAAAAGATAAACAGTTGTATGTTTCTTACTCCAAATTAACTGGCAGGGATATGTAAAATTTTTGTATAGTGGTTTACTGTACATGATATAATCTTCGATGCGTTGCCTGGCTACATTAATCTGGTAATGTAATATTTATTGAGGTGTAATATGGCTACATTAATATGCGTTAGCTGCTACATCTTATTGGTAATATTGGTTTCATCTTCACAGCTAGTATAGGTTTATTAACTCATTATTTGTTCCCTTCTCTCTAGAAGATCAGGTGTGAAGCAGCGAATGAGAAACCGAGATACCCAAACAAGAATTAGGCGATGTCTTTCCAAAAACATGCATGAGTCAGGCCTCAGGTTGGGGTCTTAGAGTTAGGACATGTTTTCATTGCTTGGTTCTAGTATCAGATAAGACTTGTAACATACTCCATATATTATTAATTAATTAAAGCTGTTCAGACTAGATAGAGATATTAAGATCTGAAAAAACACTAAAAAATTACAGGGCCTTATGCCTAAGTGGTGTTTGGGTTGGTGAGTGGATCAAATGGATCACAAACACGATTAGATGGTAAGTTTATGATATGTTATTGTCTGAATTGGCATGGACACTCTTTTTAGTCGAGATCTTTCTTTCATGAAAAGATCCCTCAAGAGTTTACATATAAATGAGATATTTTATTTGCCATTATCAAATTTTGAAGCAATTGAAGATATCCTCTTTGGAAGTTTTAATTTGACTGAAATCTTATTTGGTCAGGTTTTGGTATAAGTCTGTTTTACTATTTTAGGTGTATATTATGACTAAAGTCTAGTTTGATCTGTTTAAATTCAATCTAGTATAATTTAAGTCTGTTATACTATTTTAGGTGAGAATGTGAGATGTGGATCAAATTAATCCATTTTAAGAAATCATTATACTTCGTAATAAATAGGGTTGATATGGTCAGGGAACCAAAACGGGAAGCCAATAGCAGGTATGTCGTTGGTGCAGTTCTGGTTAGCCTGAAATTGAGTTGAAACTGGTTTCAATTACGAGTTTAATGGTTAGCCAAACTAGACTTAGAGCCCGTTTGGAGAACTCTGTTTTCGGCTTATCAGGCTTATCAGCCAGCTTTTTCACCAAACACGTAACTTTTACTTTCGCGCGCTGAATTGTGTAATAAGCCGAAAAAGTAAGGTTGGAGTTACTTTTCTGGCTGTATTGGCTGAAGTTACTGTAGAGGACCATTTTAGCTATTTTTACATATAATTTTTTCTTTAATTTATTAATAAAATATATTTTTAAAATATTTTTTTCTTAAATCAGCAGAATCAGCCAAAACAGCCACTCCTGCCAGAATATCATAAATTTCAGCAGAATCAGCCAAAACAGCCGATTTTGGTGCTACCAAACGGGCTCTTACTGGTTGCTCTGATTTCAATTTTTTGAGTTTAATGGTTTTTGTCTGCAGCCATCTGAATTCAGATCTACGAGTAGGGAGTGAATTGACCGGAACCCACATGGGTTTAGCCGATTGTGGTTAAGCCAGTCATAAATAATTATAGGCAATGATTATGTTTTGAGGAAATGTAATTACATACTTTATATGACGAGCCCGTTTGGTAGCACCAAAATCGGCTGTTTTGGCTGATTCTGCTGAAATTTATGATATTCTGGTTGGAGTGGCTGTTTTGGCTGATTCTGCTGATTTAAGAAAAAAATATTTTAAAAATATATTTTATTAATAAATTAAAGAAAAAATTATATGTAAAAATAGCTAAAATGGTCCTCTACAGTAACTTCAGCCAATACAGCCAGAAAAGTAACTCCAACCTTACTTTTTCGGCTTATTACACAATTCAGCGCGCGAAAGTAAAAGTTACGTGTTTGGTGAAAAAGTTGGCTGATAAGCCTGATAAGCCGAAAACAGAGTTCTCCAAACGGGCTCGACATTTTCATTTTCATGTACATTGGAGAGTTCAGAGTTGTTTTCATGGAAGGAAATTTAGAGCCCGTTTGGAGACCCCTTTTTTCGGCTTATCAGGCTTATCAGCCAGCTTTTTCACCAAACACGTAATTTTTACTTTCGCGTGCTGAATTGTGTAATAAGCAAAAAAAGTAAGGTTGGAGTTACTTTTCTGGCTGTATTGGCTGAAGTTACTGTAGATGACCATTTTAACTATTTTTACATGTAATTTTTTCTTTATTTTATTAATAAAATATATTTTTAAAATATTTTTTTCTAGAATCAGCAGAATCAGCCAAAACAGCCACTTCAGCCAGAACTTCATAAATTTCAACAGAAACAGCCAAAACAGCCGATTTTCGTGCTACCAAACGGGCTCTTAATGTGACACAGAATGCCGCACCGAAAATTGTGTATTATAGGGTGGATCGGAAAAATAAATTATCCATATACGAAGTAAATGTTCACACTTGGGGTTCTTCATATGAAAAAGATTGTTTCAAAAACGATATGAATTACGGAGTATTACTTTTCTAGTTTAATTATGCTAAAATTTTGAGTATGAAACTTATTTCTGTTCTAATTAGTATAATTTTTGAACCGTGAATGCTATTGTATCCTTAAAAAAGTGAGAGTGTGTATTTATTATGCATTTGATTGATCCAAGTAAGCATTTTCATCATTTATTTTATTTAAATTATTTAATTACGATATTCTGATAAGCCATATGGACAAGGTGCTTTGAGGGTATAACAAACTCGTACTTCTTTTTTGTTTGAACGAAACTTGCTTAAATTATCATAACAGAACGTAGGCCTGGACTCGGGCCGGGCGGCCCGACCCGGAACCGGCCCGGCCCGGCCACTGTATCAACCGGCCCGGCCCGGTGGCCCGGTCCACCGGCGGTTCGGGTCGAACCGGCCCGGTGGTTCCCGGTTCCGGGCCCGGGCCTTCCATATGGTGAACCGGCCCGGCCGGTTCGGGCCCGGTCCGGGCCGGATTTTAATTATTATTTTTTTTTGAAAATTTTTTTAAGTCTTGGGTTGGAATAGGTATTTTGGGCCATTTGAGGTGGTTTGGGGTTGAGGGGGAGGGGTAGGGGATTAAATAGGAGAACAAAAAAAAAATTAATTGGACCGGTTTGGCCCGGCCCGGTTTGGCCCGGAACCAGAACCGGAACCGGCCACCGGCGGTTCGGGCTCGGGCCTCCCCTTTCCTGGCCCGAGGCCTGGCCGGGCCCAAGCCCGAACCGGGCCCGAACCGGCCCGAGTCCAGCACTAACAGAACGAAAGCGGGTTACAAAGTGACAACAAGTCTTCTGTCTGCTGTCCGTCGTAGAACCAGACTTAGAATTAATCACCTCCATAGAAGCAATATAATTCGTTAATCCCGCTTTGGGCTTAACTGAGCCAATGACTTGCAGACCAAACTCATAGTCCTCAATCCTAAATTCTAGAGTTCTTTTGCCCGAATAACACAACACAATCAAAACACAATAAAGATCCAAATAAAAACAAAACATGAAGAAAACAAAGCAAGCAAAATAAATTTCTTGAACCCTAGCACCTCGTTCAGCCCTTGACGGTGGTTCAAGAGGAGGCCGGACCATCGCTATGATTGTTGACGCACCAAATCGGTTTTACTCTGACTCGGCTGCCTCATCATCATCATCATCATCATCATCATCATCATCATCATCATCATCATCATCATCATCGTCAGTCACCAGTTCATCCTCGTCCTTGTGTTCGCCGCTAATCAGCACTTGGGATTCGCCCTTCGCCATAGCATCACACCGTCTTCCAATTGCCAAGCCTAACCGCACAAACTCGACCGTACCAACCACCTGGGCCTCCGCTATCCTCCAAAGGAGGCATTACGTAAAAGCTCTAAACCCTAACAAGAGGGAGAGGCCGCTTCACACAAAGTGAAATGTTAGAAATACACACAAAGTGGAAATTAAAATTAACAAACTTGTCTTTCTGAATATGCAAATTCTAAATTAATAGGAAATATTTAAATTTATCCGTAATTGTAACCCTTAAAATGTATCACAAATTGCAAATTTGCAATGGATTACTATTTGGTGTATACATTTTTTTACACATTTCGCACACTTATTTCTACATCCTGTTAACTTCTATACTTTTTAAACGAATTGCATTTGTATAAAGATAAAACGGAAGTTTATAAAAAGTGTATAAAACATGTACAATTTGTATAAATACATTTTTCCGTAATACCATATGACTAGGGATGGTCCCATCGGCAGTCCTAGTTCGGGACCGGGATTGACATTGTCCCAGCCTAGACTGGGACAGGAGAAACAGTTTCGATGCGAAACCAGGTACCCGATCGGGTTTCCGGCGGGCCTGGTCTAGGGCGTGAGAAATGGGCACCAGAACGGGCGGTCCCGATCGCACTCCCAACAGTAACATTTTTTTTACTTTGTCGAGTAAGGGGAGAGTTTGAACGAATATTAACGGAAATGGTTCCAAAGTAATTTTCAAATGTGTAATTCTCTAATTCAATGTAGTATTTGAAATAACTATAGAAAGAATGACGCGCATGTGACTAACGGGAATGCTATAGACAAAAACAAGGCTTTTCTCAATTTTTCCATAAATGAGACCAATCTCAATATTAATTTACAAAATTAACCTTTGACTCCCCTCGGATTCCCTTCGCATCGCTTCATTAGGAATTTCAGATCTGGAGAAAAGCCATGGCAAGACTTCACAAGATCTGGAGAGAAGCCCATCGCCGCTCACCTCACCGGCTCACCCTACCATCACAGCTCATACCTTCATCGTTGATCCATGTTCTTCCGTTTCTCTTGCGCCGCACCAAACTCCCAGATTCATGTTCTTCAGCCGCCCATCTCTTCCGTTGCTTCACCACCAGAGGTACAACGAGCTTACTTCGCAACTACCTAGATGGGATCAGATCGACGATGACCTCCTCCGCGTCCAGGTCGCCGCCGCCGCCTTGAACTCTTCGTCGTCAACATCCCCTCTGTCTTCACCACTGCCGCCGATTCCGTTCTAATTTTCTCCTCTTCTACTTTCTGTCCGATCGCGAGCAACCTAGGGTTTGCAGGTATGACGGCGAGTCGGCGACACGACGGTGTGGATATGGCCTCGAGGCAGAGACAGCTAGGGTGGCGATATGGTGGTTCGAATCACTTCTCTAACGCGCGGCTTTACAATTGTGCGGAAGGCTGGACGTGGTGCGGGTGGGGCAGTGCCGCAGTGGTTGTATAGGGACTT